AAATGGTTTCACTTTCAATTACATGTAACTTACTTTAAATGTTTTTATGTCCTGCTCTGTAAATTAAACTTTAATTACAAACAGCGTATGCAGGGTCTGCAGGTTCTAGCAAGGTATTTGCGGAGCAGGAGATAAGAAATGATGTAAACAGAATTTGCAATAAAGGAGGTGTAAACATTAGATGACACTTTACAGGAAGTGTTTAGGAAGGTTGTGTAAGTCACATGCAGGGAGGTGTGACTACGGCTTCATAAACAAAGTGATTTAACATCTAAATTGCAGTTAACTGAGCAGTTAGACTGCAAGGACATGATCTATTCAGCAAAACTGCTCCATGAAGCTAAAGTTGTTTTGGTTACTATAGTGTTCCTTTAAGGACAGAATAATGTGAGACACATGGCTTTCTCTTTCATTACTGAAAGAGAAGATCTAAAAACTGTTTTGCATGTATTGACTGCTTCTTGTACATATTGTGTTTATTGTGATATGAATATGTGTATAGGACGCATAGAAGATACATAACAGTAAATCATGTATTATTGTATTATGGGAAAATAATGTCATTTACGGATTCTGAAGACAGCATAACAAACAAGACACACGAAGAGACTTAACACATGTGATGTAAACAAAGTACTGTATAGTACATAGCATTTAGATGAACAAACAATACTATTTTATAACGATTGTGTCCTTTGGGAGGATCACTCCAGGCAGTGATTGATCTTTGTTTTTAATGTATTGCAAAAAACGGTGCATTTTAAAATATGCACATGCAACCAATCCAAAGTAAGAAAGGATAAAAAGAAAAATCTCACTCATAAAGACTCTACTTCAGGTGCAAATCCCAATACATTATATCATTAGCCTTAAGCTTTGCTCATTCCAGGAAGTAACTTTTCCAATCAGGAGCTACACCTTCTGGTGTGTGTGAACTGCAGTGCTGTGCTAGATATGTTTAACCCCGCACTGCAAAGGTTAAAATGTAGAAAGAGATTAGCACATTTAAAAGGTCTATGTGCACTGCCCTAGTTGTGCTCAGAGAAGGGGATTCTGGGAGTTGTAGTTCAATTATCAGCTTTCTACTTAAGAGAGCTGGTAGCTGATCTTCAAGATGTCTTGAGCATCATGCACAACATGTGCAATTGTTTTATTGAAAAGTCCAGGTTAGGGGAGAGATTTGGAAAGTGATCTGTACGTGCGGGAGCGAGGAGGAAATACATTTATTGGAATGAAAAAGGTGAGATAGAAGAGGCAGGGTTAAGACAACGAATGTAAAATATTTATTTGGATATTGCATAAATTATACTAAATTTAGAATGTAAAAATACAGGTATGTTGTATTCAAGCCAAAAGCTATAGAATGTATAATATGTGTGTTGATGCCTGGAGTGTCCCTTTAAAGGGGAATTGTTACTTTTACTGGGATTTGCACAATTTAATAAAACATTAAAAAAAAAAACACCTATAACTTGCTACTTTTTTCTTTAAAATGTACCTTAAAGATTTGGCAAATTGTATCATGATCTAGTTTAGAGAAGACAAAGCTATGGCAAACATTGCAGATAAAGAGAAGAAATAGGAACATTGTTTATTTTCTCTACATCTGTACGTTTTCTCAATGCTGACTGCCAGGTGAAAAGGACAGCATTTATAACACTGATTGACAGAGAGCTAAGATGGAGGCGTCCACATGCAGGACAAAGAGGAGTGAATTTCTACATTGAATTTTATTTTTCACACCTCACAAACAGATATGTGTTTAATACAGGGATAAGTAAACATACTATTACAAAATCTGTGATGTGACAGTTCCTCTTTAAGTTTTGCATGTATCTCAGTAAGTAAATCCCTGTGGTCACAGATTAACTAACTATGGTCCACGGCTTTGAAATGGGAGAGTCCCGTAAAAGCACCAATATAATACAGTCACTCAGAATGAAAACATACATATAAAGTATCTATGTGAATAATGGTTTCCTGATGTGTTATGAGTTGTGGTATTTTGCTGTTTTCAGGTAAATGATTAGCTAGAAGTTTAGTTTTACAGAGTTTAATATAAGGGCAGCCATATAGATGTATGGCAATGCCCGTTAGTATCCAGTCTCACCAATTTGTCCACTTTATGTTGGCAAAGGAAGAAAGTAGCATTACTCTGATGGGAGCAGTAAGAGTTACAATATCAATGAACAGCTGCTGTAAATGGGTAGCAGTACCTTATCTTCTAGATCAGGGATGGGGAACCTTCGGCCCTCCAGATGTTTTGGACTACATCTCCCTTGATGCTTTGCCAGCATTATGACTGTAAGAGCATTATGGGACATGTAGTCCAAAACATCTGGAGGGCCGAAAGTTCCCCACCCCTGTTATAGATGAACAATGGGTTCTAAATTTAAAGAAACTGGGTAGCTGAAACTAATAACTGAAACTGAAATTACATTTTATGTCACTCCTTTAATAAGTCTTCATAATACCACATTGGAGCTGCTCTCCTCTGGAGGAAATGAGAAGGTAATGCAGTTCCTAGTAGTCAGTAGCAGTTAAACACTAAGTGACCTAACAAATTATTGTGCAAACAGGGACGGGAGAAGAGAGGAAATGGAGATTTGAGGAGAGAGGGAGAGACAGACAGCAGTGGGGGGTATGGTTTGAGGAGAGAGGGATAGTAAGCCTGTGGAAGGGAGTGAGGTGGAGCTAGGGGAAAGAAGGAGATGCAGCCGAGTGAGAGAGGGGGACATGATACAGGGTAGGAAAGAGTGGTATGTAACTGGGTGGGGGAGAGGGAGATAGTGATGAGGGGTGAAAGGGAGAAAAAGGGGAGAGAGGAAGATGGAGTTGGTGGGGGAAAGGAAGTCATTGCCTGTATGCAGATAGATCTAGGGTAGCAGGGTTACCATCAAGAGGATAAAGGCCATAATCTGTTAAGGGGAACTGTCACGACTTAACTCCACTGCCTCCGCTCCCTCGCTGCTTTGATGGAGGTACACGGGTCACGGCTATCCGCGCGAATGCAAGTGGGCGGACTTCGACCCATGAACTCAGATCGTGTCACGTCTCCCAGGCAATGATAGACACCTGGGAGATGTGCACGAGCATTCCACACTGCAAGACAGTGCGGCTGGATCAAATGAAAGCAACACTCATCTCCATGACAACCTCAGCTGATTGACAGCCCATACATCAATAAGGTGTTATGGGGCCTTGTTAAGTAGGTGTGCCTTTTGCATTGAACCCTATTAAACAGCTGATTTTTTTTTTTTTTTTTACCTTTTGGATTGTCTGAACTTGCTTTTGCCTTGCCCCTATTGGATTGTTTGCATCAGACTTTCATTTACTATTTTTTCTGCAAGTACAAGTACTGCATTCTGAGTTTCATACGACTATGTCTGACAGGAATAGCCTTGCTTTAGGGATTTCAAGGGGCCCTCTAAGGCTGCGTTGTCTAGTTGGGCAGCGGACCACAACTAGACAACATGCATGGCCACACTGGGAGGAAGTAATGTCTCATCTCTTCCTCCCAGTTTTTTAGAGGAGGCAATGAAGACAGAAACTACCTATCATTGTTCCCTTAGTACAGCTCGCAGTCGGTGCCGTAACCCCACTGGACCATAGGGTAAACACCTTTTTGGCAAAATGTAGGCAAGAGTAAAAAATCTTACATTTCAATATTTGCATTTGTGTGTGTCTCTGTCAGTGTTTGTGTATGTGTGTCTGTCAGAGTATGCATCTGTTAGTTTGTGCATGTGACAATCTGTTAGTGTTTGTTTGCCTGGCAGTGAGTTGGTGTATGTTTGCCTATGCGTGGGTGTGAGGCATGTGTGTTTATGTTTGTCAGTGTGTCTGGCATTGAGAATTACTGTATGTCTGTCTGGCAGTTTGTATCTGGGTATATGTATATATCCCCATGAGAGTGTCTGGCATGTATATGTGTCTGTAAGTTTGTCTCTGTGTGCCTGGAAGCATGCATGTGAGTATGTGTGAGTTGGTGGGGGCTCAGAAACTGTATTCATAAGGGGCCATACGTGTTATGAAGACAGCCCTGCAGGGTGGACTGAAAGTCACATGCAGAATGGAAACAAGGAGTCCCAACCACTAGACACCAGGGACCCATGCCAGTTAACTCCATTGTCGCTTGTATTTCTTTCATTATGGGTGTCAGTGGGGGGCTCATGCTCAAGTATTTTCCTTGGGGCCAAACCCCACATAAATGCGTTATTTATATAGAATATATGTTATACATTCATCAGCATGTTTATGAACTGCATTCGCAACATTTCTACCTGCTTTCCTAGCCTATAATTAACGGACCACTGTGACAGAAGTGCTGATATGCAAATTAGTGCAACTAAATAAGTAGTTAAATGTATATATTGTTGCTTTTTATTGAGTTTCAAAAAGTTACCTGTATTTTATATTTCACGTATTAATTATAATTACTTGTTCTCCAATGATCTGTATATTTGCTTTTTACCACATGTTCAAGGACAAGTCACCAAACGCTAGTCCTTATCGAAAAAAATAAAAATAAAGAGTAGTGTGTTAGTTAATTGATCTGTTCAGGGATCCTAGTAACAGTTTGTAGACCTGGCTGTACTTGTCCTCTATTCCCAGGATGAATTAAGAACTAGGTCCGAGAGCCATAAGTGATTTTATAAAGGCAATAGTTGGAGATGGTGTAGAGCAGACTTCCCCAAATTCCGGCCCTCCAGATGTGGCTGAACTACAACTCCCATGGTTCTATGAATGAAATAGATAGGCTGAGAATCATGGGAGTTGTAGTTCAACAACATCTGGAGGGTCGGAGTTTGGGGAAGCCTGGTGTAGAAGCAGAGGTGTTGATACCTGCCTGGGAGAAGAACAAAAGAGGCAAAGGCAGAGGGAACGATATCTGCATGAAAGGAGAGAACTGTATCCCGGCCCAGTGGAATATACTCAAAGACCCCTGTTACGTGTCAGCGACTGAGTCGGAAGTGCTCCAGAGTTCCTGGTAGCATAGAGGAAGCTGATACTCAGTCGGAGTACGGGAGATCTACTCAATACACCAAAGACACCCAGACCATGTCACCTAAATAAGGTGGTCTAGGGTCAGTGTCCCTGTTATTTTAACCATGCAGTGTAAAACATTGTAGGTTTTAAGAAACTGCAATGTTTAAATTGAAGGGTTAAATCCACCACTAGTGGCTTTCTTCCTGACCAAGTAAATTCTGTCATGTGATGTGGCAGCCCCTAGGAATACAATGCAATGGGGAAGCTTGGATAAGAGCTTGGAACTTGCCATGCATATACATCAGTTTCTAATGCTTCACTCTCACAAAAAGAGCCAGATGATGTTGCGGGAGCCGAAGCACTTTTTGTTAGGTATGTCTAAACAACAATATTTACACCCTATCTTTATGTGCTAGATGTGCATTCCACTTTACAAAAAAAACCATATTATGCTGTTAGTTTGATTTTAAAGCAAGTGTCCTAGGTAGTGAGGGGGTTAAACATTTATTAGGTATATGTATGTTATTTGAGTTATAGAAAACAAAAATATCCTAAGACTGTGAGATCTTACTTTTAGTTATTCAGGTTTTATTTTTCTTAAATTGATGTCAGAAATATAAAGTTCCATAGACCTCTTTCAAAGAAAAAAAAATCTAAGCTTATGTCAAAGTCAAAAAAACTGATTAAAGCGCTAAAGAATAAAAAAATAAAAATAAATAAAAAGCTAGGAGATATGTTTTTTTGTGTTCTCCATACCACAAACTCATTTCCTGTGCTACGTTGTGTTTTCAGTTGTGGGAATGCAAGGACAATACAGATTCTTCTTGATTCAAAGCATCTCAGGCACTATAAGGCTAGTGAAGAAGATGCCAAAAAACTGGTAACAAAGAGAACAAATTTTGTAGTATGCTGTTATCCAGTAACAGTGGCTTCATTATGTGCCTTTTTACTTTATTTCCTATATGTTGTTGCAAACTACAAATGGGTCATTGCCACCCCTCTTGTCTTCAGTTTAAGGATTCTATGTAATTCTTGTATGACTTGTTTTTCAATCTACATTTATTTTTCATTTTTCTCCAAAGTTTAAGTTGGAAATGGTATGCAATGGCAGCTGGAGAATCAGTTAATTCTATCTCAGAGCTCCTTGACACTACTGTCACGCCATCTCTGAATATTTTTGTTGCATCTCTTATCTTTTTTTCTGTATTTATTCCTAGCAAATATTTGCTCAGGTTAGATTTCTTCAGCTGTTTGTTAGAGTTTAATAGATTTCCATAAATGTAGGTGGTATATTATCTTTGTCAATGTTTCACACAAAATGTTATTCACCCATTGTACTCAACTGACAATGTCTTTCCACCTCAACCAAACAGGAAGTTATATGGACTCATATATAATTGTTGGCAGGCTTGTACATCCCTGTACTTAACCTGGACATAAGAATGTTTTGAGTTCTGTTGTAACAGAGGTCAAGCAAGAAGTTTTCTTGACTTGATAGATTTAATGTTTCTAAGTCCTGGGGCTAGTTGGTGTCAAGGTTTTCAGGGTCTTAACTGCTTCTTCCGGTGTTCTCCCGAATGCTGCACATTCTCTAAGCGTGTCCTTTTATTCACGGTGGCATTCGTGTCCGAATGACACACTTGCCAGACCGAATTGAGCGCGCTTGAGGACGTCACAGATCAGGCTGACATGGTGTTCTACCACCATTTAGAACTCGAAAATCACATTCTCCTATAGGAAACAAGCCCTATCAATTTATACTCACCTGTCCCAGTCATAATTGCCCTGTTGTGGTTTTTGTTAGCACATTCTTGTATTCTCTGCTCATTTGGTATTTGACTCTTGGTTTGTTTATCGTTTATCCTGACCTCTGTACTCCTTCACTTGGCTTGAATTTTGTTTATTATGTTTTCTCCTTTCCTTTACCTTGGCTATTTTTCTGACTCTGTTCACCATTAGCCCGGCCACTCTAAGCACCTGTACATGGATAGCTTTTCCCTTGTTGTGTTCTGGGTTTGTGTGCTTTGGTTCCTACCCTAATCCTGGCAGATGGCTACTCAGTACCATATGATAAACACCTGTAAATATAATTATCCCATGACCTTCTTATTCAGAATCTTCTGTCATCAAAGGGCAATTCTTCTGCACTATCACTATCACACTGAAAGAGGTGCTTCCACTTCAACTACTCTTGCCTTACATTTGAAATTAATTTCACTTTAGTAAGTAACCCTGACAATCTGTGTCAAAAGGTGTTGCTGTCAATCATCCCATGTTCATCTTTCAGTTATGGCATCCATGTTCAATTTACCCACCAGCTCTGGCTTCCAGGAGCCATTTTATCCTTACCTTCATTGGTTATGCACATGCATGCTTGCACCTTTTTGATGTGTCGTAATTGCTGCTGTCCACATACACATATAAATGTTGTTCCTCCCATTCAGTGCCCTTTCTTGGACCTCCTCAGCTTTATAGCATGTTCTGGGTTCTGTAGTGTTATTCTTGCTTTTACCTAGACTTGTTATTATCATTCTGATGCATTCTGTTACCCTGCTCTGGGTAATTATCCAACCTTGAATATTTGACATCCTTGAAGCAGAGCAGGATTAATTATGAGGAAACCTTATGGAACAGCTTAGGACCCAGGGGACCTATGAATTTGTTTGGCCCCATTCACCATCCCTTAATCCTTCTGTAGCTTGAAAAGTTCATTTGACTTTACAGGCACTCTTTCATGGTTATTAACCAAACTCCAAATTGTAGCAAATTAAAACCCTAATGCCAAAATTGAGGCTAACATAGCTGATTTGTTGAAATTCTCCAAATTAGTTATAGTCTCAGCCCTGGCTATTGTAGCCTCAGTAAAAACTTTACTTTAATACAATTCAGAGTTTAAGTCAATGACTCTTTGTTAAACTTTGCTATGGTAAAAAAATTTAATACGTACCTTAATCTGAGTTAACATAACACTAATCTTGTTTCGATAAATTTACAAGACCCATGTTTTAATGTTATAGTGTTTTAACTTTATGTCATGCAAACATCACACGGTGGTAAAGAAATGTCAATCGTGCGTTATAATTTCAAATCAATAAATTGTTATAAACAAAAACAAAAAACTGTAATATATCTTTTTGTCCCTCTTAACCTTTCTATCCTTCCTTGTAGTTTGTGATCTATGTTCCTCACATGAGCATTGTAGAATTCTGTTACTAATACACCCCACTAAACCCACTAAGTGCATATAATTCTTGAAATAACACACCCTTAGATTTTGATTATAAAAGTCATAGTGATATAGAAAATCATAAATTGTTTTGGCACATTACTTTTTAAAGATTAAGGTAGATTTTTACCCCTAAATCCAAAATAGCACTAAATGCCCCAAAATAAAAGTAATTTAACTTAAATGTTGAAGTCTTGACCTATTATTCAAGAAAGTCATAGATTTTACAAACGTAATATACACCAGTGGCGATATTGTGTATTTTGTGAGACATTTTTCCCACAGAACATTTCAGTCAAATACCCTATAAAATATATGAAATATAATATTACATTACTCACTATATGGAAGCTCTAATTATCTCTTAACATACCTTTGTTATAAACACAGTATGTGGTCAGTGTGACTGACCTACTGAATAGTTATTTTTATGAAGCATTATACTGGCCACTGTATTGTGCCCTGTTATAACATTTGGTAAAATAAATTGTACTGACATATCTATGACGTATACTCTGAATAAAAAAATAATAATCTGTGTTCACAATGTGCAATGTCTTTCTACTAGCTTCAAATGGTGATTCTGTAATGATTGAAATTAATATGCAGCCCTCAGTTACATTTTTATTTATTCTTATAATCTTTGGTACACAAATAGCATGGGGTCTTCCTGTCTATTCTCTCCCCTTCAGCTTTCTGACTTGAACTGGTCTTTCTGGTTTTTACTTTTTTTGTTACCTCTTATTGCTCATTGGGTCTTCCCTCCCTGGGTTATCCATGACATGTGTAAATTAATTAAACATAGCGCTCATTAACTATCCTTAATATATGCACACATAAAGTACTACTACACTATCCTAATTTTATTTTCTGTTCTTGAAATCTGTTCACCACTTTTTTTTTAACATAGATAGATAGACAGACCGTCTCTTTTTTTCTAGAGATCTTGACTTTGGTGACCATTATTAAACATATATACTAAACATATCACAATTTTAAAACTATTTTAAAGCATGAATGTACTCCTTTTGGTATATGACCTGTAACTGTGAAATATGTCTGTAAATCCTAGATATATGACATGATATTCCCAAATTAGAATAAATGGAGAAATCTATCCATATATAATTTCTTTGTCCCTTCAATAGTTGTTTTGACATTTGCCCCTCTGCACTGAGGGACAGTGACAAAACAAAAGGAGGATCAGGTTGCTGGGTGAACTTGCAAAAATCATAGGGTCGCAGGAAAGTTTAATCCCCTTTTTTTTTCAGGCAGTACCATACCATTTTTGGTTGTACTACTCCTTTAACCCCTTAAAGACACATGACATGTGTGACATATCATGATTCCCTTTTATTCCAGAAGTTTGGTCCTTAAGGGGTTAAATAAATACAACAACATATTATGTTTGATTATTTCTAGAGTATAAATGGAGTGGGATTTTTAAGTATGTTTCAATATTGCTTTTTTTTTAAAATAGAATTTACTTTTTGTTTCTGCTGTAGTTCTATCAGAAGTAAGGAAACACATAGTGTGTAGTTTTGAATGAAAATAGATTTTAAAAAAAATGAAGTATATGTAAAAGAATGAGAAAAACTCATCCCTTTTTAGTATATGACAGTATCCTTCAACCATATACACGCACCTTGTGTACAGCTTCTGTACAGGAGTGAAGCAGGGAAGACCATAGAGACTAACTATCTGTTTTCAAACCCTGTCTGACCAAAGGTGCATGTATATAGCTGAAAGACTCTATCATTTCTAAAGGTAGGCATGAGTATACCACATTTTTCATATATACTTAATTCTAATATATATATTAGAATTAAGTATATTCCTTTCAAAACTTAATGAATGAGATATTTTATAGAAAAAAAATAGTTTAGAGGCAATACGTGTTCTTCAAGGGTGCACTCTATGCACCAAAACAGGTACAGCTCATTGTATAAAAGGGTGCTAAAAGTTTTTGTGTGCCGTCCCTATGGATTACATTAAACTGCTTGAGCAATTTGATGAAAACCCAA